TTAAAAATCGCGCGCAGTAAGGTGACATTAACCAATTAGCCATTGTTGATGTAGGGTGCTTTGATTAAGCCATCTAAACCATTTTGTGTAAAGAAATTGCAGTTTACATTTATCGAAAGGGTCCTTCCGTGCATTTTGAGGCAAGAACTATTAAGTTAAATTTACATTTTGGAATTTGAAGGTTTTTTTAGGATAAATTTAGACACTAAATCTACTTGTATACAAGATTTTACAAGGTGGTCGAAAATTGTCCCTTTTCATCTAGTTTTTTTTTTAATGTTAACAAAATTGTTGGTATTTTATGGGGGTTGGGGTGATACACGTTTTAATTAGGGTTTTAAATGTATTTTTACTTTCCTATCTGTTTACAGATAAGGAAAGTATAGGAATCATGATTTTTTTTGACCTCGAATTTTCGACGGTTTTTTATGTTTTGGGGTATCCTGAATCTGTTTTGACTATTTTCGCGATGATGTCTGTGTGTGTGTGTCTGTATCCTCGATAACTCATGAACGGATACAAAGAAAAACACCAAATTTTAAACTTAAGCTTTATTCCGGCGTCCAATTAGCTGATTAGATTTTGGGCAGAGTCGGAACATTTGGAGGGTACTTTATAGTCATCATTTTTATATTTTATGGAATATATCTGTTATTTACGTTTGGAGAAGAAATTTTTTCAAATAAAAGTTACTTACAATATTATTATCTATAATTTGTTCTATACAAAATTTGGTCCGTATTCGAGAAATTTGACAAAATGTAAAAAAAAATATTTTTTTATAAAAATTGTTCAAATAAAAGTTGTTTGTAATATAATTCTCTATAATTTTTGCCCTATACATAATTTCTCTAAAATGGACCGTATTCGAGATATTTAAGAAAATGTGTAAATTTCGAATTTTAAAGAAAAATCAAAAACGGATAAAGTAAAAAACATTAAATTTTAAACTTAAGTTTCCATATATGATGTAGATAATGAAAAGAGCATTTTTTATGGATTGGAAGATCTTAATATAAAGGATTTTCGAATTTACTAGACAAAAAGTGATTCTGATACCTCATTTTTAAACATAATTGTGAACAACAAAAAAATCAAGGTAAAAAAATCAGCTCTTTGTTGGTTATTTTCCACTGAAGACGGGCGCTTCTCAACTGACAGATTATCTCGTGTAAAAGGAACATCCTCAGCAGTACTAAATAACAAAAAAAAACAAGTCCAGGAAAAACACAGCTAAAATACCAAATAACTACAATGACAAAGATGTAACAGAAAGTGAAAAAACTACCGGTGAAAACACTTTGCTCCAGAAAAATATCAATGGCATTTTAATTAGGAACGAACAATATTACGCAATCCTTTACGAGTCGTGGTACATAGGTCGAATTGTTCAAATAATTGAAACCACTAGTAAAATAAAAATTTTTAAATCTGAACTTGAAGAATATTTATGGCCAAAAAAAGACGACATTCAAATTGTTAAAAATAAATTAATATTTTACGGACCCATCAATTCAATTGGATCTGGTCCATTTAAACTAGAAACAAACATCAATAAAATTTGTAAACGTCTAAAAAAACACTTTTATGAAATTTTTAAACAAAAAACCTCCAAATACTTAATTACTTAACTTGTTTTATTTACCTGCACCTATTTGTTCATTTAGGCATATCAAAGATATCTAATAATGGAGGCATGTAAGTACCTACATAGAAGTTTATATTTCGGGTATCACATCAATTAAAACTGATCTTTTAAATGAATAAAAAACGTACAAAAAGTTGATTTATTGATAAATTTGTCGTACACACTTAGTTTTAAATCAATGCATTGTATTTAGCACCTATTCGCTCCGTGCGAAGTCATGGAAAGGGAAGCAAAAGCGATACTAGCGCTATCTGCGGATAATTCGTGCATTTTAGGGGGATATTTTGTAATTTTGGCATATCAAATACACGTATACATTTTACTTTTTTTTCAAAAAAAGTAGGTAAAAACAATACAATAAGCAACCGGAGTTACTGTGTTGAAAATTGTACAAATACTAGCAAAAAAAAACAGTGAAACTTATATAAAAAATTTCAGTAGCAAAGTGGAAATTAAATCAAAGAAATGAATGGATAGATATACAATAAGAAGGAAAATTACCTTTATTTTTGTAATAATAACCGTAATGCTGCAAATAGTAGACATCAGAAACTTGAAAGGTTTTAAATCAACAATAGATTATCATTTTACCATGTTCTTTAATATCCCTTATTCTTAAATGTTCATTCAGCAAGGACTAGATTTCAAGATTTCTGCCTTTGATTATTATATGTGGTTGGAACGCAATTTTGTAACTTACTGATACGAAATCAGTTTTAATCATTCATTCTATGTTTTCTTTCGAACAAAAATGAATATATAAGTAATGATCCTTTTTTATACATTTTAACTTCACGCTATTATTAAATGGTATTTTTGTATTTTGACAGAATAGACTAATTCTTCAATGAAAACTTATTAGACTTAGGCAACTTCTCATACATTTTCCAGTAAATACTGTTGCCTGCCTATATTTTATTATGGATTTTTATCAATTATACATAATTTTCTTTAATTTAAGCGATAAAAATATATAATAATAATAAATTAATGTTTTACTTGTTTTACAAATCCATATATTTTTATTAAAACTAACATGTATACTTTTTAATTACGAATTCTATTAAAAGTTGCATTTGTCAGTATACGCCGAAATCCTCCATTAGTATCAAAACGAATTGGCGCTGCTGTCGCGCACGGAGCGAATACATGCGCTATACAAAATTTAGTTTTTCTGATGAAACACCTAGCTAATGCTTTTTTTACTGGAAACCAACTGGTAAGCCATACAATATCGTAGAAATCCTTCGGAATGCGTGCAATTTTGCAATTATACTGACAATCCATACGTACGAGTAAATCGCCGCAATCAATAGGGAAATTGCCGCAATCAATAGAGAAATCGTTGCAGTCAATACATAAATCACCGCAGTCACGGGAAATCTGTCGGAAGTCATGTGGAAATCACCGCAGTCATCCAGAAATCGCCGCAGTCATCTAGAAATCGCCGCAGTCATCCAGAAATCGCCATATGATTGCGGAAATCATATGAATTCGGCAATACATGTACATTTTTACAAAGAGTGATTTGCCCCTCGGATTATACATGTTTTTGGTATCAATAATCAATTGATTAAAGCCCTCAAGCTGAAGCTCCCAGGCTCTAATCAGATTATTAATGCCAAGAATTATGTCTCGTCAAATTGATATTAAAATATTCTCGAGATTTAGATTCAACAAAAATAGCCGACTATTATCAAGGTCTTGATATATTAAGTTGTATTAATTTTTTATTAATACCTTGATAGGTATTTTAATTAAGATTATTAGAACAATTATTATTTTTATTTCATATTCATTAAAGACAATTTGTAAGTGTTTTTTTTTTTATTTAGATGTAGTTGAATATAAGTTTGATGTTCCCTTTTACTTTCTTTAATGTGGACTCCAAACTGTCAAAAATCACCTGTCTGTGTGGCGTGCTTAGTGGAGTAGCGATGGGGGGCATAATGCTCCGGGCGCTACTCACAAAGGGGCGCCAAATGGTCCGCAAAACAAAAAATTGCTAGATAATTTTTATTATAATTGATTTCTGGAAAATATATTTTAAATTTAGTGCCAGTGTAATATAATAAATGTTAATTAGTTTATAAAAAGAAACAAAAGGAACACTAATAGTCTAAATCAAACTGTAATAATATATTCATGATAGAAATGGCACGTCTTTTCTACTGTCATGATGTATCATTAGAAGCGAACATTTAGTCCGAAAAAGAACGGTGGCGAAATATATTGCAAAGAATATTAGGTATTTAATCATACAAAACATGCAACAGAAACTCCAAAAACTGTCTTGTTCGTCACCACAGATTCAAAATGAATTCATTCATCTTCTGGCATCTCCAGTTCGATATGTATGTGTTAGTAAATTAGTGAATGTATGCTTTAGTGATTTAGATTTCTTTATTTCATTTAGATTAAGTTTTATCAGGTTATATTCTGTTATGGCCTGCTATTAAATATTTTTTGTAGGATGCATTTCAGTTTTTAATATTATAAAGGACATTTGAAGGACCGTATTTCATAACAGAACTTATTATGGCCGATATCAATGCATAGTAACATAACTTTCATCTTCAAATTTAAAATTACTTCTTGCTATTTATTCAAAAAAAAAAAGAGGAAACTAATAATATTTTCGAAACTGCTTGAGATTGTATTCTTCAATAATTACATACAACATGAAAATGGAAATTCAAAAATAATTTTTATTTGGTAAAAAACCGTTGGGTACATTCTTTTTTCAAAATGATAAAGCAGTGCCCATATGCATGACACTGTTGAAGCTGAAAATTACTCTTGTATTAAAAAATGTGCATCTTTATTTACTGTCACTGCGTAATTAATATTACAAACGGTTTCGAAAATATTAATTTTCTTTTTTTTTTCATATAACTTTATCACCTCGTATTTTCATATCGCAACATATTTTATAAAGGGAACCATCATTAATTTTTCATGTAAATTCAAACCATTAAATATTCGCATGTCATTAGGAAATACCCTGTATAATATTCAGAGAAGTGATGTGGCTTTAAAAGGAGTTAATGTATATACATTTAAAAAATAAAATAGGGGATTGCATGAATCCTCATTGTTGTTTTTTTTCTGCCTCTTATACGAATGTAATTATTAAACTTTATCTGTTCTCCTGCGGTAACTACTCTTCCACTCAATATCTCTATAATCTCTGATAGGTACCAGTTTCCGTCTTTTCTAAATGCTAATTTTTATTGTAACTTTCTGTCAAAATGGTTTGCCAAATGATTATTTCTTTCTGTTATTATTTAACTTTCTTTTAAAATTTTGTTAATCCTACTTTATAATGAATTCAAATTGACCGGTGATCCTTCTATTTCAGGTGAACTGATTCCAAAATGTCATCCATTAGGCAGCTTTGAACAAATGGAAGCTATACACGTAGCCGCAACGCCAGCAGAGTTATACAACGCTGTCTTAGTAGACACGCCGCTGGCCCCATTCTTTGTAGATTGCATCAGCGAACAGGATTTGGACGAAATGAACATCGAAATCATCAGAAACACTTTGTACAAGGCCTACTTGGAAGCGTTCTGGACTTTTTGCAAGGCAATCGGTGGAACCACGGCTGATTCCATGTGCGAAATTTTGGCGTTCGAAGCTGATAGACGAGCTATCATCATTACGATTAACTCTTTCGGTACGGAGCTTAGCAAGGACGATAGAGCTAAATTGTATCCACGTTGCGGAAGACTGCATCCCGATGGGTTAGCTGCTCTGGCTAGAGCTGAGGATTACGAGCAGGTCAAAGCTATTGCCGAGTATTATGCTGAGTATTCTAAGCTGTTTGAAGGCGCCGGAAACAATCCCGGCGATAAAACTTTGGAGGATAAGTTCTTCGAGTACGAGGTGCGTCTCAACATCAACGCTTTCATGCAGCAGTTCCACTTTGGGGTGTTTTATTCATACTTGAAGCTCAAGGAGCAGGAGTGCAGGAATATTGTATGGATTTCCGAGTGCGTGGCTCAAAAACACAGAGCCAAGATTGATAATTACATCCCTATTTTCTAAATGTATCGTTGTTTTAGCAATTTGTCGCATTCCATTGGTTTTACAGCAGATTTTTCTGTTGAATAAGTCACAACGGGAGCTCAAAATAATTAAGTATCCTCCGTTTTTAATGACAAATAAATCACTGTTTATTTGTAATTTTTGTTTTCTGATGATTTTCGTCTACATATCTCCACACAATTTTCAGGTAAATGTATAGAATTGGGTTTAAATTTCAAATTATACGTTAAGGATTTAAAGATGGATATATGTGTAATAAATACAGTTTTGTTGTATAAAGTATTTTTTAGCGTAGGCGCAGTCTGTAAATTGTACTTTTATTGTTATTATATTGATTAAAATAAAGTATATGTATCTTGAATTTGTTTTATTTCAGGCATATAGTCTTCTATTGTTATTATAATAATTAAAATAAAGTATACGTATTCGAATTTGTTTTATTTCAGTTAAATAGTTATTTCATCGATCTTGGTTTGTACTTGCAATAATATGCAGGGCACTTTCTGTTGAAAACATACATATTTTTAACTATAAAAATACTGAATACGCCTCTGTGCAAGAAACAATTTCCTTGGTCTTGATCTAAACAAGGCGTAACTTAACAAATCGCGTTAATAACTTCACGAAGTAGCTAAAAAAACATTACTTTTTCATCAATCAAACGGGTCATTCACGATGAGAATTACTTCGCCGGATGTGTCGAGGCACTTGCGTATCGGGGGACAACACTAATGCGCATGTCGTCCGCGTTTTATTTGTATATCTGTCTCCTTTTGACAGAGCAGGTGAGCTGTGTCCAGGCCGTTGGTGTTTATGCCGGTTAGCATAGCCAGGTATGGATTGAAATTTTCTGGTGGCGACGTGTTGTAAATGCATGCAGTTTTTTGAATGCCTCCTAAAATAATTACGACGCCACTGACAGTTCGGCACTTTTCGGAAAATTTGTTGCTGAAAATTGTTGGCTAAGTTCTCACCGGTACAATTACTGAGGTATTTTATTTTATGATTTATAGAAGTAAAAACATTTTGGACTAAAAATGGCGGCCGTCGTATCTCTTTTAGTTTCAGTACAGAAATTACTAGTGTCTTTGCATGTAATAACGTTACTGTCCGATAGATGCCGACAGCAGTATTAAAATTAATTTATGTTTAAAATTCTTTGAGGTGTGTACCAATTTGCTTTTATATGAAAAAAATGGTCTGGTAAAAACATTGTTTTTACAAAAGGAAGTAAACGATTAATGCATATTTGAAAAGAATTACATTTAAACCGATTTCCTATAAAAAAATAGGTAGTATACAGGGTGTCTCCGAAAATATTGGGTTCTTATATTATTAAATATATTTAATTTTTTAGGTTAAATACTAAAATTTGAAGAACTTCAAAAGGTAACATTTTGGAAGGCGAGGCCGAGTAAGATGACATGCAGCAACAGCAAATACTACCGTGTTAAAAGTGCTGTCGTGTCTCTTTAATCGGTCGTGCAGTAACAGTAACCAAATGTTTTTCACATAAGGTTTGTTCAGGTTTCTTTAAAACTTGACGCAAACCGTCCGAGAACCAGTGAAACAGTTGAATTCCAAATTATTCGTCGCGTAGAACTACTGGGTCTTCAACAATACCGAAAACCCACGTGACCAAATCGTCATGACAGCGATTGGTGAAAATAAAAGTAAAAATCCCTAGATGTGAGCCAGTGCCGTAGGTATTTTATTACAAACTAGATCTTCTTCTTTTTTATGGACTGCAACTACGAGAACAAAATTCAGTTAGGTAACTGTTGGAATTATAACTCAAAATCATAATATTAATTAGAGGTGCTTTACATTATTGTATTTTAATGTTAGAATTTGATATTTTAATTAGATTTATTCAAATGCAATAATTTAAAATTGATATAATTAACATAACCTTAAAAACTGAGCTGTTATATCTAGTTTGTATTATTGTATTTAAAGAAAAGAATAATAAACATGAAATATGCGTACTAGTTATTGCCACTATTGCAAAAAAAACCTTTACCAGAAAGTTATGGACAAAAAATGTTATTCATTAAAATATGAATAAAATTAAAAATTTACTTTAGATTGACTCTAAGATATTTAGCTACAGCTGAAACTTTAAATAAGATAGGCAGAAGACAATGGCAGTATTTGGAAATTATTGCAGTTTTAAGTTAACAAATTTAAAACTTACTGGAATTCTACCTGAGCAATGGGAAGTAATAAACAAATAATTTAAGTTTGTTCTATTATTTATTTGTTACAGGGTTTAAACCATTTACAAAATACATTGTTACTTATTTGTATACAAAAAAATATTAATATTATTAATGTAACAAGCACATATTTGTTTTACCTTACAGCTCTCACTTCTCACTTTAAATTATAAAGGCATACCTATTACCAACTATTTTATTTAAAAGGATATTGAGTAGTAATCGGTGGTGCACAAACGATACTAATTCACAGTACCTATCTGTTCAAAATCTTTACCACCAGCTTTAATATAAGCATTAATTGTTCTTCTTTGAACACATTATGCAGTTTCTCCTCAGTTGTATTTTGTATTTCATTTAATATAGGTGCTCCAGTTCATAAACGTCACACAAACGATTTTGAATTGAATGATCTGTAATATTCCATAGGTAGGTTTAACAAAATTAAGGTAAAATGATTGTTGCAGTAACGAAACTTTATAGGGGAGATGCAACAGAAATGTTTTCAGTACTTTATGGCTAGTTCGTAGCGACAAACCTAAAAAATATATGTTTTGAATTTCACATATCAGAGTCAGTCTTTGAAACACCGTTCATACCTGATGAAGTGCTGTTTTTGTTTTAAAAACTTATTGGGAATTTGCACCATGTTAATTTGCACATCTTCAACCGCTTTTGTTATTACTTTGGGCCTATGGAGCTTCTTCCATTTATATAATTTTGAACAAATATTTGTTTATGACGACAAAAAAGAATCACATTCCATTTATTCACTGGTAAACGTTCCTCAAATTTTGGAATATAATTACGAATATAAAATAATTTTGTTCCAGTGTAACATTACCTGAAATAAATGATATACAGTCATTAACTTTTACGAGTTACAGTAAATAAATTTGTACTCACCAACAAAAAAGAATTAAGCCACCAATAATCTCTAAAAATAACTAATTGCTCCATTAATATTAAATGAAAAGTGGAATAAAGGTGTTTATAAAATGTAAACAAATATAATATAAATATTCTCAGTCCCCAAATGAACGCCAGTGACATTTCTGACAGGACTGTCAGTTCAGTTTAGTTCCTTTTACGTCAAATCAGGCCCTTTCGATGGGTTTTTGATGGTTATCAGATCACGTGGGTTTCGGGTATTGTTGAAGACCTGGTATTAAACAGTCCACTCGTCAACTAGTCCGTTGACAGTTCTCAATGTATTTTTGAAGAACCCGAACAGACCTATAATTACATTTGTTCAGATGTGAAAAGGCAGTTTTCGGTCGCTTACCCTCGTGCATTACTCCTGTCCCTTACTCGGTCTCGCGTTCCCAAAATGGTACCTTAACCTGCGCTCCTATTTGAAACTCCGTTATCTGCATGTGAGCGTGGTGCTCAATAAGATGTAATGTCAAAAACGCACTCAAATAATTTGTAAATAAAGGCAATGCATTACTCGTTGTGTGTTGGCCTCAAATTGGTGAAGAACAGTTTACTAGACTACATTTGGTTTTTT